AATGTTTGCAATGGCCAGAAATGCCCATCCACAGAAGGACAGGTAAGTACACTGTAGTGTACTCACACCATGGACTGCTCCACAGTCAAGAGAATGAACGATAATATGTATGAATGCTTTAATGTGTATGAATCTCACAAAGATAACATGAATGAAAGAAGCCAGAAACAAGAGTTTTAGACTGTATGAGTCCATTTACATCAAGTTCAAAAATGGACAAAACCAATTTAGGCTGTTATAAGTCAAGATGGTGAGGGGCTTCGTTCTTGATCTGGGTGCTGGTTACATGATGAGTTTTGTGAAAACTCATCAAGCTTCCCATGCATGATCTGTGTCCTCTTCTGTCTGTATGCTACACTTCCAAAAGTTACTCATAAAGGTAAGTAATTTAGTTTAGTTTGGACCAAACAAATAAACTAGCACAACTGATTTAAAAAAATAAATAAATAAGACCTGGATTGGTTCAAGCGCTGGTGCTTATTAGCAGAGTAACTGGCTAAATCTCGTTGCCTCGGTTTTCTCGTCTCTAACAGGGAGGGCCCTAAATGAAGCCTACTGAGTCGATCACAAAGATAATGTGACAGTCAGATGAAAAATGCACATAAAAGTCCTTTAGAAAATAACTCTCGTGATACGAATGTTAGTTGTTGCTAATAAAACTTTCCCAAGGGAGTGCTTAAGGATTGCAAAAGTCTCCGGTGGTAGACCATAGGCTCAGTTCTTGCCACATTTTCTTATAACTTTACAAATTACTTGGGTGAAGATTTAGCAGGTGAACACTTCCCTTCCAAAGGCAGAGAAATAACTGAGTTGGCAGGATCAAAATGATCTCAAGGCTGGGACAAAACCAATAGAAGAAATTCAACGGGGATCACTATAGTGTCACACATTGAGGTTCAAAACATACAGGGTGTAAGCAGAGGCTCCAACCCAGGGCAAAAGGATTTGGAATCCTGTCGACCTTCCTGTGAAATATAGGATCTATCTGACAGAAACTTTGCACAGAATTCTAGTTCTCCATTCTGTGCAAAGCACACCCGGAGACGTATGTCCAGTTCAAGGGTCTGCCCTTCCCTGTCTCAGCCCAAACCGATGGCAATGAGAACTGTTCTTGGCAGAACGTTAGCAGGGTGCTAGCAGATGAGTGTGAACGTGGTTTACACTGCCCTTCACGCCAAGTTCAAACTCCTGAAGGTGGTGATGAAGATCTCAGGCTTTTCTATTCCCCTTGGCATGAGAGCCCCATCATCTATTACCAACACCCCAGTGTCCCTCAGCAGAGATGAGGCTGTGGTGAGCCCCAGGGCAGACTGGGAAGGTGGTTCGTTCTACTGTCAGCCTCTGGTTCCAGGCCTGGGAAAGGTCTACAGACTCAAGGCTGTTATGGAAACAAGGCAGAAGACATTGGTGGTGAATACCTGGAACAATCAGTCACAACTCAAATCTTCTCCTTTGGAGCAAAAATACTGCCATTTTCACTCTCAGTCATGTCATTAGGGGGAGGTGGGACCTGAGTCTGCCTTTGGGACACATACCTGGCTGTAGCCTTGGCCCCCAAGTGAGAAGGTCAGCAGTCCAGTATCCAATGTCCAAAGACGTGTGACAAATTCAGCTCTACTCAGCATAGATCAACATCTAGAACAGAACACAAGACAGTAACTGGAGACAGAGTGACAAGGTCCATTGGAATTGGGAAGTGTCAAGTGAAGGCCAGGAGTCAGGGCTCCAGCCAAGCAAAATGGGGTTAGAGCAGGACTCCAGCACCTGAGATACCTTGAGAGCTGGTCGTTCCATCAGCTGGTAAGTTTTCAGTACTGCCACATGACCAGAAACAGAGAAATGGTGCTGTCAACCGGTAGCTGAGGAAGGCTAGGACTTGGAGGACCTTAAATCGCCCTTGGCATTGAGGGCAGCAGGCTTACATCCAGGGAGGAAAGGCAGTGGCTCCACTGCCGGCCTTGTTCACATGAAGCCAGGGCCTTGGCAGGATCCGCCAGGTAGGGCAAGGCCTCTGGAAATGGCAGTGACCCATCTCAGCCCAGGGACCTGGCCTTCCCTTCCAAGCCCTGTCACCGGCTATGCACACTGCCCTTTACCTGGTTATTGAAATCTCCCTCTGGGAAACTGAGCATTGCAGAGGAAAAGCCTAGTCACATCTGTTTGACGGAGAAAGAAATTCCTCAGGCAGGAATCTTCCAAAAGCCACTCTTGGTGGTGTGGATTATGCAGGCCTTTCCACCCTCCGACAGAGACACCAGCCCTAGCCCCCAGCGTCTGCTGCCCTCGCTCAACTCCAGTGCTCTGGCTCCTCAGCAAATGGTCACCTTGCCGATGATCCCAGCAAAAACAGAGCTCTCCTACTCTACTCCTGGTTCTTTAAAACCCACTCATATTTTTTTTTTTTTCATCCTAATTCTAGGGCATTTCCAAAACTCAGACAGACTTTTCCATATCGGTTACTTTTGACCATGTTTTCCATTTGGCCCATTCCAAAAGGGAAAACTCAAGGCCCACGAGTCCCCACGGACGTTAGGATTTGGGTTCTAGGCTGCTCTCTATGGAGGCCGATGCTGCTGTTGTGTTACTTTTGTGCACGTTAAAATTTTTTAAATCATAACAAAGGTTGGCTTCTGTAGTTACGCATGCTGAGGCCTCACAATGCTTGCTGTCGTAGAGGGGCTGATTACCTAACTCCATTTATCAAAGTGTCACTTCTCTGACAGGCCCTAATAAATATCCTGCCAGAGACCCCGCACCTGGCAGCCGTGCCACTCGGCAACACGCCGCTAACCTAATTTGCTAATTGCTGCTTTCCCCATTAATTTTAGTCCTGTCTTGTTTGGTGTTGACATGGAGGAAAAAGAAATAGGGTGGAAAAAACAGGCAAGAAAGGAAATATCTCGGGGTCCCCCAGCATCCAGCCCGCCCTCCCATTCCTTCACACAACCACTCACTCACACTCACACCTAAATTCTAACTTTCTTCCCCTTTCTTTTTCTCATCATGGCTGGAGGAGATGAAACATTTAAAGGTATAGGGTCAGATTTTCCAAATCAAAAATCAAGGCAAGTGCCTAATAATGGGATAGACGGTTTGACAATGGGGCAACCTTAGAAATAAAGACAAGGGATGAATGGTTACTATATCTAAAGCCATTCTAATCAGTATGGTTGTTATTCGTAGAGAAAAGATCTAATAGGTCATCAAGGGGTTAACAAGTCCAGACCATCAGTCCTTGAATATGGCCACGCCCACTGCCCTTCAGGCCCAGTTCTTCATTCCAGCCCCTCCCTATGTCACAAGGGAACTCTGTCTCCCTTTTAGTGTCTTTCTGAGCAATGATGTTCAAGATAATGGCACAGGGTAATGCCTAGGACAGAACTTCCTAGCCAGGTCTGACTCTCCAGGCCACCTGGACTTGCCACACATCTATTCCTTCAGCTCTTCAACTCCTGCCAAAAGACTACAATGATGGAGAGGTTCGTTGTGGGTTATTTGATTATAAATCATCGCAGATGAGCCCAGTGGGTTCAAGGGCCTAGTGGAAAGACAAAGGCAAGAATGGAAAAGACTCCAGCCATGAGCAAGAAGGACATAAGATGCACTCTCTTTTCTGAGAGGAACAGAGGTCCCCCTCTAAAAAAGAGGGATGGCTGTCTCACTCACCAACGGTGTGAAAATGACCTCCTTCTCCACCTTGATACGTGCGAGCCTTGGCATTTGGCTGGTGACCTGACCTCCAGGAAGTACCTGCTAGAGCCAGGGGTAGAAATTGTGCTTAGATGCAAGGCTACAGGTCGAGTGAATAACCCAGCCTTCTGGGTTCTTACCTCTACGAGAATGTGCTTTCTGAGAGTTCATGTCTAGCTCCAGCCTGGATAGAGCATCCAATTCGTTGTCCCCATATCACAGCACAGACTATGTATCCTCTCCAAGAAATGAGGTTTGACTGAGAGAGGAAATGGAGCAGAGGGGAGGCGGAAACTAGGAAGAGGCCGCAACGTGTAAGTCAGCAAGTCCTTCGTTCCTGGGCTCCATGACCAGGTTATCACTGATGGTGGAGGATGAAGTGTAGGTGGTCACACACACTACTGGCAGAAGACTAAGGACAATGTCCACCTATGCAGGATTGTGTGTGTGTGTGTGTGTGTGTGTGTGTGTGTGTGTGTGTGATCACACACATGGGCACACTGCAGCCTCAGAGTATCCACATGCGTGTTCAACCATGTGCACAAAACTGCACTGCAGACATATGTGTTGATGAACAACGCTAACGTGACCGTGTCCCAGAATATCTCTGACCAAGCATGCCCATGTGATTGTCTAGCTACATAAAGACAAGTGTGCCTGGACAGAGAAATGAAGACACATATCTTTGTATACATAGGCAGGGCTGTGATATCAGACATTAGATCTGGACAAAAACTTTGATGAATGTTTTCCACATTCCCATTCTCAGTCCCAGAGCAACTGAGGCTGCATTACGACTCAGATCGTGTACTTAGAATACCCCATCCTTCTTCGTATACCTAGAAAACTTTTATTCCTACTCCAAAGCCCAAGTCATATCCCTCTCCTCCCCATTTTGTCTCCATTGGAGTGTCCATCACAGGGCCTCTGTTTTATAATAATTTCCACAACATGTTTCAGTTATCTGTGTCCATACAATTCTGCCTTACTGGTCTGTGACATCTCCAGGTCAGAGTCTGTGAGCCTGTGTCTTATTCTTTCTGTACCACAGCATCCGGTTCCTGATACTCACAGGTAGAACGAACTTTTGCAGAATGAGTTCTTGAACACTGGCTGTCATACCCAGGGCTGGGCACTAGGATGACACATCCTTGAATCAGATGTCAGCTACAGTACAAAACAAAGACAATTGGATACTTTTAATTCTACTAAGTCAGTGACAGCAAGAAAAGAGGTAGATATATCTGGGCTTGCTTGATAAAAGCAGTTGCTAAAAACCCCCTGGGGTCTCCAAAGATGCCAACAGGTGAATATTTAGAAGTCATCTCCTTTCCCTTCATGACAGTCTAAAATAGGGAGGGTATGGAAAGCCGTTTCTTCAAATGGCAGATAGTAAATAATTTTGGCTTTGAAGGCTACACGATCTCTTCTCCTCAACTCTGCCATTTCAAGGCAGTCATAGACAATACATAAATAGATTGGTGTGGCTGCAGTCCAGTAAAACTCGATCGTCTGCCAATCTCTGGTCTAGAATTCTAAAGTAGAGAGAAGAGAGTGTCAGCCCCACACCAGTGACAGCAGTGGCCTCTTGTTATCAAAAGAGCCTAACCCATCAGCACATCTGGGAAGCACATAACCTGACTCCACCCCTATATTCAACAACATGCCAGAGCAGAGACCTGCTGGAGGTTGAGGACTGGGTTGTCGTGTGTGGTTGCAAAGGCTGTGCACTGCACATAGCCAGGAAGTGCCGTTTACAGAGACCGTGATGTGAATCGTGCCCTCCTTGAGTTGATCAAATTCCTTGAGCGTCAGCCCTGCCCGAGGGTTACCAAGGAGCCCCAGGTGTGTGAGGAAAATTCACTGGCTAGCGGTGCACATGCACTCTTGGCTGCTACTTCACTGGTTCAGATACTTGATGGACAAGGGCAGCTCCCTCAAGATATGGACTGTGAGCCATTGCTTTTTTGAAAACAGTTCAACGGGGGCTTTTACACTGCATAGATAGTTTGAGGATGAGGGAAGCCAGGACTAGAGGGTCCCTGGAGGGTGTGGATCAGGGACTGTGGGGACTATGGGGACTAAGGAAAAGCTGTTCCTGTTAAAGCTTAGAGGGCATGTGACTTGGGGACTGAAGTTTGCCTGGCCCCGATGTGCCTCTGTTGTGAGCCTCCCACTCTTGGCCCCTGCTTACTCGGGACCCAGAGGTCAACAGAGGCCTCTGGAAGTAGCCAACCCTTCACCCTGCCTAAAGAGCTTGGAGATGGTTTGTAGAGGAGGTGGAATGCCCACCTGCGTCCTCACAGGTTACAGGGCCCAACCCCTTTGAGCCAGCACAGGAACCACTCCAGAACTCATCCTGCCCCAAAAGGTTCCTGAGCTGGCTGCAGCTGGCCCCAGATCTCTCCCAGGATAAGCCTGCCGTCTCGATCTCAGCCATTAAACTCCACCTAGCTTCTTTCCAATAGCTACAGTTGAACAAAATATTGCCCTGTTCCTGGTTACGTTAAAAGGGCCTAGTAAAGAATAATGGCAAAGATGCTCACAGCCAAAAGCTGCTCTTGATGGCCCTTTAAGCGTGATTTACAGCAGACATTTAGCAGTGTCCCTGGAACGTTTGCTGGCACCGATCGGTGGGAAGGATGTGCGTGGCGCCTCCCTGGGCCAGCAGGCAGGAACATCCTTCATTCTAGGCAGCTCTGCCTGCCCCCTGCACAGTGCCGGCTCCCTCATGGTCCTGCTCAAGTCCATTAGGCCCCTGACTGGGCTGCTTTCTAGTGATCCAGCTGTCAGGTGCCTTAGGACAAGGCCAGCTAAAACCTGTCCTGACACCATGGCTGGGAGGCCTGAAGATATGCTGGGATCTGAGAAACTGAAGCAGGGACAGGGGTAGAAGTATAAAAGGTAATATATGTGTGCGTGGGAGGGGAGGGTCCCTGGAGAACAGAGGGCCCTATTAATTCGTTCATTCAACACATATTTATTGAGCCCCTACTATGTGCCAGGCAAATTTGATAGAGATGTGCACAAAAATAGTATGTTTGCTCCCAGCCCTAATGAAATTTATTAACTAGAGGGGAAGAGAAATATTAAGCTATCAATAACAATAAAATACGGTAAAGAGAGCTCAAGGTGATAGCAAATATGTCCAGCCTCGGGGCCATCCCTGAGTATGTGGGGTTTTCCTAAGACGTAAACTTGTGCTATTCGAGTTGATAATGCTAACCACATGTAGCTATTGAGTGCTTGAAGTAAGGCTCTTGCAAGTTGAAATGAGCTTCAAGTGTAAAATGCACGCTGAATTTCAAGGACTTCGAAATACAAAAGAAAGAATGCAAAATACCTAATTTGTAATTTTAGATCGATTACATGAAATGATAAGATTTAGGGTATATTGGGTTAAGTAAAATGTATTATCAAAAATTAATGTCACTGTTTCTTTTTACTTTTTATAATATGGACAGAAGAACATTTAGAAGTAAAGCATGATCTAAGTAATGAATAGGGATTAGCCAAGTGAGGGGAATTAGGGTACAAACCAGAAACCGAAAGTTTGATTATAAAATCCACCCCGTTTAAAGTCTGGATCCAACAAATAAGCTGTCCTCCAGCACAGAAACCGAGGCAGAAGCCCCTCTGCTGCCTTACACAAGCACATTTATTTCCCGAATACAAAGAACATCTAAAACAAAATGTCAGATTGGTTTTATTTCATATGCCACCTCCAACAGCTTGGTAGTAACTGACTAAGGCACTGTGTTAAGGATTCGGAGGTACTGATTATGAAGGAGTAGTGTCTGCCATGGAAGCATGTTTGGCTTGGTATTTGCCATTTGATCTAGGTTTAGATCAAATCCCATAGTCACCTGCAAGACAGTGTCCAAAGCAGACCCATACCTTGGAAAATTTAATTTACAAACTCAGCAGCCCAGGGGAGTCTGTAGGGAATTCACTTGACAGCAAAGAGACACCGTGACATATCTTCAAAAAATATATCAGGATCTCAGACTGTATTAAGAGAGGTTACAGGGAGAGAATCCTGCTGCTCCATGCCAAGCAGACCACACCTAGACTACACACTTTCGAAGGACATAACCATCATTGAATAATTCAGAAAAATACAACCAACTTAGAGAGAGGTCACAGAATGCCCTCCCTCCACTTGCTCCCTTCTTCACCCTGCTCTGCACCAACAGACTCCCCTCCCCGATAGCTTCTAGTTGGGTTCAGCCAATAGGTCAGAAGGTAGGAGGAAAGGGAGGTCACGGTATTTGCCAAGTTGCTTTAGGTTGGCTCCACTCAAGACCCCAGCTCCTGCCTGGTAGCCTCCTCCTCGCTGCTCCCTGAGTTCCAGCACGACTCACTTCCTCTGCCCTTCAGTCACTAGGTGGGTAACAGCTTCCTAATGCTGCTAGCCCTGAGGTGCTGCACCATCCCTTAATGATTCCCTTCCTAAACCTGTCCACGCCCTTATAAACAGCCCCTTTATTGAAGTCAAACTATGGGATTCGAGGATGACATCTATTTCTTGCAGGAATGAAACAGGTTTGATCCCCACCCTGGTGGAATTTACTGTCTGATAGGAAAGACAGGTGATAAACAGGGAAACTAATTGTGGTAAGTTTCATAAAAATAACAGCTTGGTACAGTAAGCATCAGGGGGTGGGGGTACCAAATATTTTAAGACGGTCAGAAAAGCTCCTGAGAAGGTGGCATTTAAGCTTATTCAAATTATATGGCATCTGAAGGATACGAATTACCTGAATGAAGAGCTGTTTTGATGTAATCTAGGACCAAGGAGGTAGGGGTGAATTTGGTCCTCATTTTGGCCCCCAAAACTTCTCCAATATGAAGTAAGCAGCCTGAGGAGATGGCGAGATCCCCTCAGAGATGCTGTTGCAGAAACTAGACGGCTCCTTGGTGGTGGCAATGCCAGAACCAAGATTCGTCTCCTGGAGAACGGGTTGAAGCCAGCTTGTCCTGGTAGGGTCTCCCCATCCCTCTCGTACCCAACCTGAATCTCGATACATTACCACACTCCTGCTGCCTCCATGGGTCAGGAGAACAGAGATATAAGTCCTAAATTGTGGGTGACAGAAAACAGGCAAAATTGCCTTGGAGGTACACCAGTTCCACAGACACGAGAGGAAGAAATGAATGCAAGCCCATGAGTAAAAAGGGGTTTTACCACACAATAACTGTCCCCTGCACACCAGGAGCAGTCAGGTGTCTAGAATCTGCCCCAATGTCTAAGATTTAAGAGGAAGAATAGAAGAATTCTGCTTCTCTTGAAATAAGAAGAGGACTAAGGATTTTCTTCTTCTGAAGCTGGAATCTCAGGGATCCGTGGCTCTCAGCCCTGAACTCTCCTTCGAATCACCTAGAAGACTTTTTAGAAGTACTGTGCCCCACCCACCCTTAGAACTCTTGGTGTAATGCATCTGGAATCTAGGGTAGCCCAGATTGAAAACCATGGCCAAATGCAATTAAAAGGGTCAAAACCAATAAAGGGAAACACTAGGGCATCCCGAGGGGCCTTTGGAGTGAGGTCCAGCTTAGAGAACATTCTCTACGTTATTGTCAAACTTCAGAGTGAATCAGGATCACTTGGGTGCTTGAAACACGGATTCCTGGTCTCCACCCCACATGGGTCTAACTCTGTCCATCTTAGATGGGGTCTAAGTAGACTGTGGAAAACAAACGGAATGGGGACAATACTAGTTTGGAGAAAATGCTACTCAGAAAGTGCTAACACCAGGGAACACCTCTAACACTTAAACCCCTACCTGAGAGCTTTGGGGAAGAAGGAACGGCCGCAGGCATGGTTGGGCAGGTATCATCCCAGAATCTTTGGATCCGGAAAACAAAACTGTATGGCTAGAGCGGGCATGGCTAGATTAAGGAGAAGCTTGAGAACTGGAACGATTGATTCCTGGTGGGTAGAAAAGAGAGACGGGGAGTGTTAGAGTTTTGGAGGTGGAGAATGAGGAGTTCGGAGTGAAGAAGCGAGGTCAAGGGGAGGAGGACGTGAAAAGTCATGCTTTTACCTCATCGAGGTCGTGTGTAGAAGGGGAGGGAGAAAGGGTGGACTTTGCTCCTTGAAGCTCAGAATCAACTCTGAGCACTTACATTCATCAGTGCTCGGAATACGGGAGCAGGAGTCGGGTGGGGGTTTTCTTCAACTTCATAGGCGTATAATTGACAAAAGTGTAAGATATTTAAGTGCACATCATGGTGATTCGATACACACGGTCACTGTGAAATGATTCTCACCACCCATCACCTCATTAGTGAGACCATGCAAGTTCTACTCTCTTAGCAAATTTCAATGCTATAATACAGTGTGATCAACTACCGTCGCCATGTTTTATATTAGATCCTTGGACCTTATTTATCTTATAAATGAAAGTTTCTACCTTTTACCAACCTCTCCCTCTTTTCCCCTCCCCTCGAAAGTAGCAGGAGTTTTAAAAGCATGTCAGAGATATGTTGGGGAGAATCACTACTCTTCAGTCTTGGTGGGAACCCCAGGACCATGGCCTCCCATGCCAGGCTGTGCTTCCTCCCACTCTCCAGGCCCTGCCCTGAGTTCCTGCTCCACTGGTTTGACACCCACC